GGAGACTGTGTTCGTCTGACCTCTAACCATTGACCAACCTGGTATGAGAGACTCTGTGAGTGTCGCGCGGACACCCCCCAGTATAGCTCAATGGGTCGCCGAGGTACACAAACCGCCACACCACGATAAGGTCCAGTCTCTTCGTGTCGGCAGGGAGGTACGAGAGTCAAAATGCTCCCGGTTTGCCCAAGGAGCAGTCAAGATGCAGAAATCGGCTTCGAACCGTGGACCTTCCGGTCAGTAAATTCGACCTTTCGCCACTGAGCCACCTCGAACTACATGACGTAGGGCGGATCGAACAAGAGCTCTGTACGACCTACCTTTGACAGTCAGGTTGATAGCATGTCGGCGCCAGAAAAGCTGCCCTGGTCTCCAAAATTCAAATAGTAATCTAGTTTTCAACAGTCTAGCGGAATTCACGTTGCTACCAGAAAGACGAACATGTCCACTACATCAGTCGGTTCATCAGAAAGCCCCAGGTTTGGGTTTGAACTCACGCACTTTTAAAGTAGCAATTTACATTTCCCAGATGTAAAGCAGCGAACCGCTCAGTAGAATTAGTCATAAATTATATGACAAAAGTACGTTCGTTCTATTTGCTATAGCTTCGATCACCGGAAGTGGGGCAGCAGAGGAGACACAGCCAAGTATTGGAGGCGATGGCATGATTAGTAAGTTCGCACTGCATAGTGTTCTGGTGCAATGGGCAGCCGGGCAGCTACTGATTGAAAGGGATGGTTTTAATGCAAGACAGCCAACAACTGTGTGATTGAGATGTCTGCCGGCGTCTTTAACCATTGCCGAACTGAATCCCAGGATCCCCCACCGGGGAGGACCATGAGAGATAGTTTAGACCCGGAACAATGGTTACGGAAATGACAGATGGATCGACCACATTGAATCATTCGATTATTTGGTGGTGTGGATGAGCCGGTGAATGAAGAGCTACAAGGGCGAGGGATACTTACTAGTTGTTCACCCCGAATAAGGATGTTCGTTTGAGGTACTCAACCCTGAGTCCTTGAAAGTTCGACTCACAAAGCGGTGGAAAGACGCAAAGCAATGCGAGGGTACGCGCCCCCCATCCTCTAACTCAATAATCTACCGAGGCATCGAACAATGACTGATCCCGGAGACAGTGACTCAATACACTGCAGAGGACTGGCCTAAGCCGAGGACGCAAGGAGTAAGGCATTACTGTCTACTCCGAACGCAGCTGGGCACAGCATTTGCCTTCAGAGCAGCACCAGACTATCTTGATAACCAATTCGACCCCATTTAATAATGGGTCGGAGGTCATGATTAACCGCTGGGAGGTTATAGTACTCGGTTTTCAACACGGGGGCGAGATGGACCAAGTGGTTAGAGCACGAATTTACTAACCAGAAGGTCCGCGGTTCAAACCTGACTTCTGCCTCTCGACTTCCCCTGTTTAGGCTTCGGGCAACCTGGCAGTATCCCAGCCCTCGTGCCTCCTTCGTGTGGCATGGCAGCTAGGCACCGAGAGGGTGCTGCAGCTGAACGATTAATTTTTTAATTTCAACGCCAGCCCCTCCTAACCCGCCCTTCCTTGAGGAAGGTAATATCGCCGATTCCATGAATGCTGACATGCTGGTTGCCCGGATGAAACACCTTACTGATTTCACACTCCCATCACAAAGGACGGCACGACTTTAATTTCAAACAGCCTGGTAGTATGACTTCCTTGTCTGACGGCTCTTCATTTGGCCTGATGGCATGGTGGAAACTTGAGGATATGAACTCCAAGCAGTGTAAACCGCAGTAGTAGAGCAGGAGTGGAACCTGACCGCCAAGATAGGGTGGCAGCTTGAGGTCGAAGAAAGAGACAAGGTTGCTTGCGCGCCGGATGGACAGAAATGAATCCAACACTAAGTCCTGCCGGATCCGCTAGCAGCGACGCGCCAAAAGGGGTGTGCTTAGCTGCCTGATGGGTTTATTGCTTTCCCAAGGGAATGCTTCTGTATGGTTGAGGAGTTCCCCATCGATCCAAGGCTATCTTAAGTTGAAGGTATGGACCCATATACACAAGGCAGCTGTAATAAGAGTTTAAGCAACGGTTGAGAGACTTGGCCTTTACTTTTGATCATTGGTGTCTGCGTAGCATGTGCTGGTTGGCTAAAACTAGTACACGACACAAGGGTGCATAAGCGGGTACTTGGTGAAAATCTGGGAAGTTGGGGGGGCACACAAGCTAAGGTGGTTGAGCATGTAATGCGTATGCCACACAGTGCGCGCCCGCCTGGTTGTCACCCAAGTGATACCACTTGAACGTTTGGAAAAATTGTACGACACAGCAGCGGTGAACCGGACTGCGTGGCTGGAGTTCATTTGATGTTGTGCGCTCGGCTCGCGTATGGTGAGGTATGGTGGTGCGGTTTAATCCACCGATGGCGCTTTAATGCGATGAATGTCTGTTCTATTCCTGTCCAAAGGTACAGGTGCCTCATTCTTGGATGTCATTCATAATACGATAGTACGTCTGCGCAATAGGTTCCTGACCTTTTGATTTGTTTGCATGCTTTGGATAGGCTTTCTCCTTTCATGGTTGCATGGCAGTTAGACACGAATATCTATTACTGGTGAATTGCAATCAATGATGTTGATGATACCGTGAGTTGAACAGAGCAGTGACATACGTGGCTGTAATATAGCAGGTCGAAGATAATGTTGGCAACAACACTTCCGTCTTTCTCCAGATCCTAAGACAAACAGATAACAATGATATCCATTAAAATGATTTAAAGAGTACGAAGCCATGCTGTCATGCATTCGGAATAGGCGTATATGTGTCCATCTCATGTTCAAGGTGCCCAACCTCTGAAGGGAACTGACTTCAAGCACAGTGGGCTGTAATTTTGCAGTTAGACCCTGTCCTCTTTTTTTGATAACAGGAGGAATCCAACATCAAAACCACTTCACCACACATAGCTAGGCACCGCAACGGCCAGTGAACCAAACTTGCAATTGATTGGCCAGAAAACGTGTTGCTGGCACTTCCTGGCTTAAGCTGTGCTTCGATTGGTCGCAAATGTTACGGTGGCCGCAAAATGCGGGTTGGCAGGACATGGTGGGTACACGCAGTTCAGATTGGTCGAGATCCGAGTGATTTTTTATTGGCTTTTGCGTTAATTCCGTCTTGCGTGGTCTTGGTTTTTCCGCCAAACGACGTGTTCGTTGATCAGGTAAGAATTAACGCTCCAAATGCGGGTTGGACATGGTGGGTACACGCAGTTCAGATTGGTCGAGATCCGAGTGATTTTTTATTGGCTTTTGCGTTAATTCCGTCTTGCTTGCGTTGCCGCAGAAGAAGCCATCCGCGTTCTCCTTGAGGGACAGAAACGGAGAACCGACAAATGACCCAACAGTGGTATCTGAAGTTTACAGAGAAAACTATGCGTGTCT